GGGGGGGGGAAGTGTTGAGAGAGAACAGAAGTCTACAAACTTTTTATTGTCCCTAAAATCCTTACTTCAAGATCTTACAATCTACAGCAGTTAAGTTTTTTGTACAAGCACAGTAATATGAACTGTGGAATCGCTCTTTCTCAGTGACAAAACCTCAGCAGACCATTTTTTTCATAAAAATACATTTTAGTGAAAAATTTAAACACATGCATTCATTCTCTAATTGCACTGGAATAAAAAATAAGGGATATTACAGTTTTCTTTCAAGGGATGTAACATTTTACCTTCATGATTCATTTTTCTGTTCCAGAGGGATACAAATATCAACTACAAGTTCTTCTCAGAGACTCACCTCGTCATGGAATAAGTGGATGCAATACATGTGTGAAAATACATTTTCACAACTGCAAATCCATGGAGGAGCTCTGTTATCTCCCTGAATGTTACATCCCAGTGTCACCTTCTAACTTAGATCAGACTTGGTGGCTTAGACAGTCTGAAATACTCCTAAATGTGAAGCACCAGAAATCCAAGTATTTACTATCCAGTATTTACTTTGGGAGCAACTGACACAAAACGTAACAAAAACCTCCAACATTTTCAGGTTCACTTAATTGTTTTACAGTTACTGGAATGCACTGGAAAAAAATTTAAATATTTTGGCACTTACCAATTGGTTTCTTGTTGGATCTCTTTCATCTAAATGTGGCACATCTGTGCTATTGATAAATGACTCAGCCTTAGTGAGCATTGTTACAAGTTCTGTTTAATGAGTTAATAATTGTCTATTTCCAAGTGCAAAGGTTTAATCCGTTTTTTTTTAACATGCTACAATGATTGTATTAATGCCTATGAAACTCTTTGATAGAGTGACAAGGCTCATTTTGCCTTCCTGCTCACATATTTTTATCAGTTAGCAATTAACCTTTACTAACTCTTTACTGAAACCAAACACTTACTTATGAGAGCACATTTGAAGTGAAAACGTTTTTCTGGAACTCCTTTCATAAAACTTTTCAATTAAACTCTTTTTTATGCAGCCTTTGGGTCACAAAGGACAGCAATGCTGAGAATAATAATAAAATATGTGCTAGGAATAAAATATTGAATGCAAATATAAAAACTGCCTATTGCTGATTTAAGTAAGAGTTCTAAGTGAGATTAGGACTGAGTCTAATTTCTGTGGTGGGTTCACCTTTGTTGGCCCCCAAGTGTTCTATCACTTTCACAGGAAGGACAGGTGAGGAAAATAGAAAAAAAAATTAAGACAGAGATAGAGAGATTATTTTTCTACTTTACAGCCAAAAGAGGCTTGACTTGGTGGAATTCATTAAATTCCCTGCAAATTAATTGCAACTGAGTAGGCTAGTCAGAAACAAACAAACAAAAAAAAATTTTAAAAACCCAACCAAACAAAAACCCACAAACATAAACAGCAACAACAAAACATCTCCTCCCTCCCAAAAAAAAATTTAAAAGACTCCCAATACACATACCAAAAAGCCACTCCACATTCAAACACCTCTACCCCTCTGTACCTAAAACCTCAAAACTCTGCTTATGAAAACCCAAGAGATGGCTTCACATATACTCCTTGTGCCTGTGTGCATTTTCATCTCCCTCAGTTTATGACCACTTTAAAGGATTAAATTTTCACTGGGATTTCACAATTACATATTACAAATGCATTAGAAGGGTTTTAATATTCACTGACTGGTATTGTACAAACCTTCTCTTAACTCTGGCATTTGTTACTGATATTTGTAGGTTTGTGCATTTTTTTAAAGTGTTTTGATTAGCTGCATAAACCAATAAATATTTAATTGACGAAATCCTATTGCAAAAGACAGCACTGAGAACATTTTTGCTGTTCTGTTTCAAAGCCACACTGAGGATGTTAACACCCTGGCACGCCGCCCACATGTCAGGAATTCATGGCTTTTAAAAACAGGTATTTGCAGTGCAGTCAGAGTGGGAGGATGAACACTTATGACACAGAACTGTGATTATCTGAAAAGTTTCTGCATTTTTCTCAGGTAACCTAAACCTATCTTCCATCCAGTGGAAGCACAGATGAAAGTCATCAGGTAGCTGCACCCCTCCTCCAGGTTTAACTCCCTCCTAAGGAGCACAAGCATTCCTGAATAATGCCCTTTCCAAGTGAACATCCTGTTGGGCTTGGGACATAACGTGCTGCTGAGCAGATTGTTTAGTTTTATCACCACCAACTGGGTTCCTAAAAAAAAAAAAAAAAAATTCTGGAGGAGTTAAGAGTCATTTCTTTTGTGAATTCAGTTTGTGATGAGGTGAAGAAGCCATGACGACCTCGGTTGCTTTAATTAAACATACACCTTGAAATAAATATTCTCCATCTGTTTGACTTGCCCATCGGGGCAGGAAAACCAGAATGGATTTCACAAACAAATTAGGTTATGTTTTCTGAAATTTGTGCACCCTATCTGTGCAGCCAGTAAATGGTAAACTGGTATTGTCACAAGGAACTAAGTCACAGCTGCAAGAAGTATGGAATCATCCACTGGAACAGGGAGGGAGTAATTTCCCACAATTTATTCAGCTTGGTTTTAAAAATACAGCACATTTTGTTTCCATAGATATGAAATGACTTTGCTACAAACTCAGCAGGACTCTGTCTTCTCATAATAAAGCTTCTACAATCAGAGATGGATCTTCTGAGCCGTATCTGGACCTACAGTGATGAGGCTCCAGTCACACAGAACTGCAGTAACACAACAGAGAGCAGCTGCAGGCATAAACCACTTGATTATCTGATTTTTGAGTCTAATTATTATATGATAATATGCTACAATAGATTATATGATTTTTGGAGGTGATATTTTGAAGGTGATGTGCTCTATCAAAGAGTGGTTTTTAAGCTTTCTCTGTCAGCTTAGTTGGTTTTGGTAAGGGGAAAACTGAAGATGTGCAAAAATGGCAGCAAGGAGACCATGACTGAAATTAGTGTTTAACCAAGAATTTCTCTGTCCTCTCCCAAGGTCTTTCCTACCATCCCTACTATGCCTGAAGTGAGAACACAAAATCTTCTTTACAGCTGAGCCTGCATTAAAGATGCAGATGAGAATACATGTCTCAATACAGAATATTCATTTAGGAAATCCAGATATGGGGTTGTGAATCAACTGGCTTTTTTTTTTTTTTTTTTTGAGTAAATTCTACTATTATCTGATATATCTTATTGGGCCTGCTTCTGGATATTTTAAGAAGTGCCTAAATTAATTATTCTTCTGAAATTAAACTAGAAGTTGTGGTGGCTTTTTTGTGGTTTTTGCTCAGTGCCATGTACAGGTTATGCTGACATAGAGAACTCCTTCATGTGAGTTACTGGAGGATTACATTTTCCCTGTTCCACAGTTCCCCTTACCTTCAACCCAGGAACACCCTGTAACCCAGTGAAATCCCACAGAGATGATTTAATTGCAAGGAAGATGAAAATCAGCTTTTTGGCAGAACAGGATGTGACCAGTGCTATGCATCATTAAACGCAATGGGAAATGAGGTGAGAACAGCACAGAAAGAAGCACACTATAATTTATCTCATTCTCACTGGGTTTCATTAATAATTCTGAAGCACTGCAACATGACTGTCCTGAGGGACCAAACAGGGAAGGAACTTTAACTGTTCCTGTTCTTTCTTCAGCTTTGTGCCTTTTCTAAGTCAAGACAATAGGAAATTTAAGTCCAGGAGTGAAATTTTTAAGTAAAGTAGCCATCCAAAGGTGCAGAAAAATGTCAAGTAGGGTTTTCAAAGGCCTGACTGGATACCTGATAATGAGGATGACTAATTGATAATGAGAAGTAGCTTCCAGTGATTTTAATTGCAGTTAAATGTCCAAGCACTGAAAATGCAATTAGACCACAACAGGGATTTTGAATGAGGCACTGATGGTTTGCAGTCCTCGGGTAAGACAATCTAAAATGCATAAAGGAAAAACAGTGTTCATGCATGGACCTGTTAATACTGGGAGTAAAAAACTGCACCTCTTAAATTTATTGGGTGTTCAGGGCCACATCACCAAGACCATAAATGCCTTGCTGTGATGTAACTCTTCTCAGGAAAATCACAGTTATGTTTGTTTTCCTGGAGTCAAGATGTTTCTAGTAGGAGTGATTTATCGACTGTGCTGTTCTATTTTTGTTAAAATGTTACATTAAAATGTACCTATCCAGCAGCTGGTATGTGCTGAAGAATTATTAGGCATCTGCTTGGATTTGTTTTTGTTGTTTTTGGTTTTCTCAACCAGTAATTAATAATACCTTGAGCACTGGTATTACCGTGCAATAATACCATCAGCTTAAAGCTTCTTAGTTCCCAGATGTCCTTGAGTGGGGGATGCTAAGTGCTCTTTGTTTTTCTAATACAGAACCACAGAATGATTTGGGCTGGAAGGGATCTTTGGAGCTCATCCAGTCCAGCCCCCTGCCCAGGCTGGGTCACCAGGTGGCAAAGGAACACATCCAGGTGGGTTTGGGATGCTTCCAGGCAGGGATATTCCACAACCTTCCTGGGAAGTCATTCCAGTGCTCTGCCCCTCCACGGGGCAAATTTATTCCTCCTGTTGTGGTTTAGTTTATTGCTCCTCACTGGGCACCACTGAACAGAGTCTGGCAGAATCCCCTCAGGAACTGCCTTGGAGACATTTATACGCATTAATTAATTCCGTCATAGCCTTGTGTTCTCCACGCCTTTATCTACTACACCCTTAAAGCTTATCAATTCCAGGATATCCTGACTAGGGATGGATCTGTTGCCTGTGCCACTGATGAGAATGCACTTTTTTCTTGATCCGGCTTGAAAGCACACCGAGACTCCACCGCAAACAACACTCGGCTTAAGGCATCCCACACCCCGCAAGGCTTGTGCCGAGCATCCCAGAGCCACACCAGCCGCTGCAAGGCCGATAAAGCCCTGCTTCCTTCTACTACGAGGTACTTCCACAGGGCAGGACCCGGCAAGGAGGACCCGCGGCCGGGCCGGCCCCTCAGCGCTCCCGCCCCGGACGGACGCGCTGTCCCGCCCCGCCACCGCGCTCCGCCCTTCCGCCGGGACATGGCGCAGGAGCCGCGGGGCATGGACGGCGACGTGGAGGACGGCGAGCTGTCCGGCTCCGACTCGGACATGCCCGGCGTCGGCTCCCCCGGACAGGTGAGAGTGGGCAGCGGCCGGAGCGCCGGGCTGAGGAGCGCCGGGACAGGGCTTGCGGGACGGGAAGGCCGCGGAGGCCGCGCCTGAGGGGGTTTTACCGGCGTGAGGCGCTCGTTCCTGGGCCGGGGCTTCTCCCGGGTCTCTCGCGGGGCTGCTGGCTTGGCTGTCCCTGCGTTGGTGGCTGTCCCTCCGTTGGTGGCTGTCCCGGTAGTGCCGGGGCCTCCCCGCGGAGCCGCTGCCGCGCCGGGCGCGTGGCGCGCGCGGGAACAATGGGGACAGCGGCGACCGTGAGGGCGAGCGGCCGGGGGACCTCGGAGAGAGCCCTGAGGGCCGCAAGCCCCTGCACACCACGGCTCGCCCGCGTCTCTCCGTGCCTGGCTAGAGATGCCAGCGCTGTCCCCGTGTCTCTCTGTGTCCCCTCCGCCACCAGCCCGAAGTCCCCGGCTCCAGGAAGAAGCTGGAGCTGCTGCAGCCAGGCCAGAGGAGGCTCCAGGATGGGCAGAGGATGGAGCAGCTCTGCTGGCAGGAAAGGCTGGCACAGCTGCCATGGCTCAGCTGGGCAGGAGAAGCTTTGGGCTGAGCTCAGGGTGGCCTCGCAGGGCCCGAAGGGGCTGCAGGAAAGATGGACACAGACAATTGCCAAGGCCTGCAGGGACAGCACACAGGGAATGGCTCCCAGTGCCAGAGGGCAGGGCTGGCTGGGAGCTTGGGAACTGGGGATTGTTCCCTGGCAGGGTGGGCAGGCCCTGGCACAGGGTGCCCAGAGCAGCTGGGGCTGCCCCTGGATCCCCGGCAGTGCCCAAGGCCAGGCTGGACACTGGGGCTGGAGCAGCCTGGGACAGTGGGAGGGGGCCCTGCCGTGGCTGGGCTGGCACTGGGGGGGCTTTGGGGTCCCTCCCGACCCAAACCAGTCTGTGATTCTCAGAGGATATGAGGAATTTATTCAGTGAGGAATTTGTACTGAGAGTATGAGGTATTCACGGCAGTGTACAGACAGAGAGATTTCAAAAATCAGTGTGTGACACTGTATGTGTAACGAATTTTATTTTCTCCAGTTGTTTTGATCTTAACGATATATTTCGGAGAAATGAAGTGCAAAAGAAGTTTTTTACAGAAGTGTTCAGTCTTTTTTTATTTATGCTGGGTTTGGGCTTTTTGCATTACACTTGAAGTTAAAAGTTTGTATTTCATAACGTGGTAAGTCAAATACTTCCATTTTCCTGCTTGGAGAAAGAAGAAATGGCACCGTGTTGATGAAAACAGTAAGACTAAAGAAAGAATTTCCATTTCACTTGAAAGTGAAGGAAGAGATCTTATTTTGAAAGATAAGGGACAGCATATAACTTTATGATAAGAAATCAGTCAGGGAATAACTGGAATTAGGAGTAAAAGCATTTTTTGAGTATTTGTATATTAGTGGAATGATTTTTTGGTGGGGGGTGTTTGTTCTAATTCATAGGACAGTTAATCCGTGGTGTGTTGTTGGTTTAAAGGAGGAAAAATGGGTGGTTTTGTAAAGGATCTGCTGTCCCCAAGTTGGTCAGGTGCATGATCACAGAACACTCTTAGTCTGAGAACTGTCCCAGTGTTGTGGGTTTGGTTTTGGGTTTTATTTTTGGTCATTTTGTCTTCTGACTTAAAACTCCAGAGAGATTATTAACTTCTCTGACATTAGACAAAGCCCTGGTAGGTTGCTGTCTGTTCTGGTATTTTACTGTTCTTAGAGCCTGCTGTGCATCTTGCATCTTTGTCCAGTTTGCAGATATTCACCACTTTTCCAGTTCTGTAATAAATTTTGCTCAGCAAAGTTTGCCTCAAGAGGAAGAGCAACCCCTGACGTGTTTCTGTGTCAGCCATGCTCTATTTCATGCCCATGCACTCAAAAGGCAGGAGTTTCAAAGGATGCTCCTGTGCTGTGGCCCAGGAGATGCTCATGGAGGTCTGCATGGCCGCAAGGGTCAGAATTACATATTTTAGCTAATTGACGATTTGATAGCTCTTCTAATTTTTATGAGTAATGGGTTTAAATTCGCTTTTTAATTGCAGAAGCTGCACGCTGGCAGTGATTCCTGCAGGCCCTTCCAGAGCAGCCTCTCATCCTGTGCTCCCAGTGTTCCTTACAGGACCACCAAGAGCCTGGACTCCAGCGAGGAGAGCGGCTCCGACTCCGACGACGACGGCTGCCTGTGGAAGCGAAAGAGGCAGAAATGCTTCAACTTCCCCCCTGCCAAACCTGAGCCCTTCCAGCTCAGCCAGAGCCACCAAAAACAGACTGCTCTGCGTGGGAAGAAGGTCAACAACATCTGGGGCGCCGTGCTCCAGGAGCAGAACCAGGATGCGGTGGCGACCGAGCTTGGGATTCTGGGCATGGACGGTTCAATTGACAGGAGCAGGCAGTCTGAGACTTACAACTACCTGCTGGCTAAAAAGCTGATGAAGGAAGCCCAGCAGAAGGAGGCAGAGACTTTGGATAAGGAGCTGGATGAATACATGCACGATGACAAGAAGACGTTGCCAGCAGAGGAGGAACACGGGCAGGGCTTCCTCAAACGGAAGAGGCCCGTGAAAGACAGACTGGGGGAAAGGCAGGAGATGAAATACAAGGGAAGGTATGAGATAACTGAGGAAGATTCAGAGGAAAAAGTGGCAGATGAAATTGCTTATCGGTGAGTTAAATTATGGTGCATCTTCACTAAGTACTGGTGGTTGCTAGAAAGAAGTGGGAGGGAAGCTCCCCTGCTGCTAAATAAGGTGTCACACCACATTGATGCCTTGGGTTTTAGCTGTTGTATTTTTTACATTCTGTACTGCTGTAATGTGTACTTCTAAGCTGTGTATTAGGGCATGGTGAGCTCTCTTTACAGAGTAGGGAGACAAAACAATTCCTTCTCTAGCTGGAGACCGAGGACAGATGATCCAAATTTCAGGCCCAAGAGCATAAACAACAGTGGAATGAAGGAGAAAACCAAGAAAGATTCGACTGCATGGGCTGGAACTGTAACTGTACAATTAACTCCAATATGCAGATGGAGCAGAGCTTACAAAAGTGAGAGACCCTGTGATTGGTCATGAATTTTTGTGACCATTTTGGGTTCACCTGGGATGTAGCCCTGGCTGGGCTCTTGTGCTGCCCAAGATAGATCTGTTGAGGCCTTCTAATAAATCCCTACTTTATTCTTTAACTCGGGCTAGACTCTGTTCTAGGTCAGCCTTCTCAAGGCATAAAGATCACAAAAAGCATTTCCAAAATCTTGGGATAAAAATGCATCACTGTGGCTGGTGATCTTGTAGAAACATCAAAATAATACTGCCTGTTTCTTCAAATTTTTATATTTTTATTTACAGAGCCACTAGCGTAGTTTGTTATCTGGGAACAGGGCAATAAATAGCAAAAAATACTGCTTCTCATTTTACAGATTTAGTAGTGGCAATTTTTGGGGAAATACTCAATGGTTGTTTCAAGTTTGACACTAGTGCACACATGCTGTGGTCACCACAAAAGTCTGTTCTAAACCTTTGAAACTGTAGATAACTTGGACAGTGCAGTGTTTTGGATGGAGTTAAACTGCCACGCTCCTCTTTTAGTGGTGCAAGGGAAGAAAATTATGTTAAATGGGAAGCAAGACTTAGAATATTTACTGACACTTAGCTTGACATTTAAATAAAACTTCTTTATTGGTCATAGTTGCTTTTATACATGTGGTATTACTTCAGAATCTGGTAATACTACAGCAATTAGTTATTAATGCTGTTAATAGTTCTGGGTAGTTCCTCATTTCTTAATTTGAAAAGTTAAAGCGTATTTCTTGCAATAAACTCCTTTTTGTTGTATAGAGCTACAATTCTAATTGTAGTAGCAGTAGCACTGAGCTGTATCAGTAGGGTTCTGGTTGTAGTGTCTTTTTTTTTGTTGTTTTGTTTGCTTTTTATAGATTATCGTAGCTCAGTCAATAAACTGATTCTTCTTATGTAGGTTTGACTGAAATGGCACATGATACAGGGAAGCTTTTATACTTCCTGTTTTCTCCAGTTGCTGATTTAACTGTAAAAAGTTAATTTTAACTGTTAAATGCACAAGAAGCTTTTATACTTCCATTTCAGAGGTCTGTGCAGGTCTTTGCAGTTTCGTATTTGGTTTGATATTTAACACATCAATAGAAAAAAAATAATCACTCAAGGCATTTTCATTGAATCAAGTTTTAAAAATGCATGCTTCAGGGAAAAGACATGCTTCAGAAGCTCAGTATTTTGAAATCTGATGCAGTAAACCATTTAAACACATTTGAGCACATAGACTCTTCAGCACAAAATGAATTACTCATTGTGGAAGTTCCACAGTCAGTTACACTCCAGGAATTATTCTGACAACAAATGTGCCTCTTTTTTTTTTCCCCTCTCTGTCAGACTTTGTGAGCCAAAGAAGGACTTAATTGCTCGAGTAGTGAAGATAATTGGGAAGAGAAAAGCCATCGAGCTGCTGATGGAAACAGCTGAAGTGGAACAGAATGGTGGACTGTTCATTGTGGTAAGGAAAATGTCACCCTGTGGGTTTGCCAGGCTCAGGGAGGGCAACACAGCTCTTCACTTGTAGAATTTTCACAGTGCTGTTCCAAGTCACTTGTGCTGGACATGTTCTCCTGGAGTTTTATGACCTTCCCTTGCCATGAAACTCCCCTGATAAACATTAAAGAAAATCTCTGTAACCCCTGAAAAAATAATCTGTATAACCTTCCAGCAGGATTTGAGCAAACAGTAAGGTGAATGAACCTGGAAATTACCCAGGTTCTTGTGCTGACCCTGGTGTCTGATTTGCAGGGATAATGCTGTGTCTGTTACTGTTGCTCTCCTTGGAATCTTCCACTCATCTTTGAGGACGAAGGATTCTCAGGTTTGGAGTAAAAACCAGCATTTCCAACATCCCATTTGGAGAGTAACTCCCAAAAGGAAAACTGTTAGCTTTATTAAGGAACCACTGGCTTGTGAATCAGCAGAGCAAAACTGAGCACTGATTTCTGTTTGAAATAGTGTTAAAAAACCCTGTACTCCTTGGTTAGGTTGTCTATTTTTGGTCTGTTACTTTTCTTCTAAATAATGAGCCTCAGTGCAAAAAACATAGTGGGTAAGAAAAGCTGTGGGTGAGGAAAAAGCGGGTGAAAATGAAGAATTACTTCCACTTGATTACAATTTTTAAGCTCTATCACTTGGAAGTAGAGAGGATGCAAAAAACAAGTAGGGGAACACAATATAAAAAAAAACAAACAACCCAAATAAATTAAAAAACAAAACAAAACAATGACCCCCTCCTTCAAAAAAGAAAAGGCAACAAATTCCAGCTAGCTGGTTGTGTTCAAGCATTCAGTTGTCTTGAAAGTGAAATGAAAAAGTGTTTAACAGAGAGATGAAGGGACACAGCTGCTGATGGCACAGGGTGCTTTGGGAGGAGATCAGAGTACACTCTTTGAAAGAAGGCAGATCACAAAAGGCACCATGAAATGCAGGTGATAAAAAGATGTTCACATGTGCTGTTTCAAGAACCTACTTAAAACCTGACCATCCCTCTTCTTGGAATTTTTAGATTATAGAGTACTTTATTTAGCAGGAAAGTATCACATTTTGCACCAGTGTCATCCAGTTTTTACTGGGGTAAAAGCAGTGTTTTATACTGCAAATTTTAATTGAATAATAGTGTGATAATTAGCACTTGCAATTTACAGAGGTTTCAAAGCTGAGCCCATTCCGTGCACTGCTGTTGCTGCACTGGAAACTTCTGGGCCAGACATCTGGTGGGGAGGAATTTTAAAGTACAGGTTGTGTTTGCTATGCCTTCAACAGAAATGCAAAATCCTGTAGATAACACAGACAAGTAGCATTTCTGAGCACAATTATAAAAAAAACCCTGGGATGAATATAATTTTATTAGATTTGTTTTAGACATTTTACTGGTCTTATGTGTTAGGAATGCTCTTGAGTGTTTAACCTAGTGCATAACTTGTTGCAAATAGCTGTGAGAGTAGTTAGAATATTATTTGTACTTTGTTTTTTCACTACCAAAATCAGGTTTAGTGTGTGGTTTTAACAATTTAACATTATGTTCTAAGCGAGTTTTTTTGTAACTTCATTATTTTCCTGTCCAGATTTAGCAGGCTGATTGTTGACCTTCATATGACTAATTCAGTCACAAATGAGACAAAACCAAGGTTATTTTCATGTGGTATTTGACACGCCAGAACTTAAATTGGCTTCATTCTGTCTCAACACTGAGTGTTGCCTTAGAGGCTGTGTTTTTGTCAACACTTAGCATTAAGCATGCTATTCCTAATTTCCTCTCTCCCTATTAAGAATGGCACCAGGAGAAGAACACCTGGGGGTGTTTATTTAAACCTGCTGAAGAACACACCGAGCATCAAAGAAGAAAAAATCAAGGTAAAAATGTCAGGAATTCAAATGCACCTTCTCGTTTGGGTTTTTTCTTCCTACTAGAAATGTCACAACTGGAACTCTCTAACTTCTAACAAATGTAACTGTGTATTCCATTGAAACCAGGCTTTCACATTCCAAAGACAGGCAAAAGATAAAAAACCTACTCAAAAATTGTTGAATTGCCATTAACTCTAAGCAGAAAGAACTCACTTTTGCATGTTGCCAGTCACAAAAACCTGTTGAGGAAGATGAGGTTGTAGATTCTGGCAGAGGTAAATGTTAGATATTCCTGATTTGTGTATTTGTATTCTTTACAGCAAAGTTGCCCACATTGTGTTTCTCCCCTTGGAGCTTTGTGTCATTGTGCATGGATTGAATGCAGGCCTCCCAGCAGAATATTTTCGTCCTGTATAGCTCCAGCTGTGGCACCAGGCAGAATTTCTCATTAAATCAGTTGATGAATTGCTCATTGGGTTCATCTGTGCTGCTCTTTAAATCAGCTTTGTAAGCTTGTAAATATTATTTCTCTGAGATCTCTTAACTTAGTGAAGAAAATACCAACTTTTTTTTTTTTTTTTGGTGGCATATGCTACTTTATTAAAAAAGTTTGTGTTAGAGTTTTTATTTTGCTTGCAGGTGACTACAGGTAATTTTCTAAACCTTTCTAGGGTCTGGTACTGGGAATTGAGAAAAAAGTCAACTTTGTATCAACATTGAGATGGTTTGAAAAAAAAAAAGACAGGAAAATAAAATCCTGACATCCTTTCATAGCTTGCAGTGGTCAGAAAAAAAAATTAAAAGTTGCAAGGCTGATCACTTTACACTATTAGAAAGTAAATTTTCTGTTCTACCCCTTTTTCTTAAGTGCAGTCTTTTCTCACACTTCTGCTCTCAATAACAAGTAGCTTACTTAAATATTGACCAGTATTTGTAGTATTTTCTTTTTATTACTTCACTTTTTTTTTTTTTTTTTTTTTTTTTTTTTTTTTTTTTTTTTTTAGGCAATACCAGTAAAATGAATGTGTTTACTTGTTTTCTTTCAAGGAAATATTCTATCTGGAAAACCAGAAGGAGTATGAAAACAAAAAAGCTGCCAAGAAGAGGAGGCTACAAGTTCTGGGGAAGAAGATGAAAAAGGCCATCAAGGGGCTCAACCTGCAGGAATATGATGATGCATCTCGTGAGACTTTTGCCAGTGACACAAACGAGGCTCTGGCTTCCCTGGATGACCTGCAGGAAGGGCACCACGAGGCAAAGATGGAACCTGAGGATACTATTGAAATTGATAATGCCCATGATTTGGAGATCTTTTAGTTACTAATGCTCTTGATACAGAGTCTCTATAAAAACATGTTAAATGAGCCTTTCTTGTAATCCCGTGGCTTCTAGTTTTCAAAGCATGGGGGATACTTGATGCTGAAGAGCAGGAGGTAATTCTTAGCTAAATTTAACAGCATGAAAGACTTTTAATTGTCCTGTTACTTGTTTGCTGAGTCCTCAGAACCTGTTAAGATTTTTCTAGATAGGAGCCCTGCGTCACCTTAGGAAGTGTTTTTAGTCACATGTTAGGTTTAGGAGTTAAGGCTATGTTTTAACCAAATACTTCTCATTTAATTTGCTGAAGTTCACAAAGTCATCAGATGAGCAATGCTCTTTACTACAGATGAACAGAAAAAACAGAATAATTTTAGTCTTGATATAAGTGATCATATATTCTTAATGTGGCAGTGTATTGACAAAAACAGTATTTATAGGATTAAGACCTGTAAAAAGAGATTGGTTTGTGAAATAATTTTAGTGGTCAGTGACCTTTGAATAACAACCTTGTAAATAAGCAGTATTGAGCAATGTATGCTTCATATTTCTGCAGTATTTTCAATCTTTGTATTCCAGTGGTGACTTGAGCTTCCTATCTGTTCTGTCTAAACATTTTCCATGATTAGACACACACCTAACTTCAATGGATCTTCTTGTTTGCAGACAAATATAACTAAAAGCCTTCAGAGTAGTGAGATTTTACTGACCTGTGTTCACTTCAAGGGTCTGTAGACTGTACGTGCAGATATAAACCCTTTACCTCGCAGTTCTTGTTTCTTTCCTCCTCCTGTGTGCAGTGAGATAATGTGCAGCTTGCAGAAGAGCTGGAGTTTTTCTGTGCTGACTCTTGCAGGGGATATTTTTTTTTATTATTTACTTGATGCAGGAAACTTGTGTAGTTTGTTAGTTTGGCCGAAATTATGTTGAATATTGTTTTTAATATAGCTGAAGAACATGTGCAACACTGATATCTGTGTCTAAAGTATTTTGTCACTACTGAGTTTTGGCTTTTTTTGTGAGTAGACACTATTCAGCCCAACTTTTGCCCATAAATTTTGCTCACCTTTGAGTTCCTGAGTTTCAGAAGGAAAGTGTGTCACTAAAACACATAATCAGTTTATGAAATTGAACAATTCAGTACTGCTAAGAACAGGCATTTAAAGGATTGCAGCATTTGAAGAAACATTTCTTACACATAACAGCACATTCCATTACCTGCCTTACTAAACCTGGGTTTTGACTTTTCTGCTTTTTATCTGTTCACATGTCAGAGCTCCGAATTGTCAAAAGGTTAATCAGATGTGCAGCATGCCTTTGCTGGTAGTAGTTGCTCGTGCTGAAATAACAAAATTTCTTATTTTTTCATTAATTTTCCTAACCAATGATGGTCAGAGTAAACTGATAACTTCTGTAAAGGAAACAGATTTTTGTGCTGTTTAATTGTTTTGGGACTGTACCATTTCATCCTGGTTTTGGGAACTGCTTGGGGATATGTCTTAACTCTCTTCTGGATAGAATCAGCAAATTGTAACGTTGGTTTAAGCAACTTTTTTATCGTTATGTAATTTGCACTGTGTATTTTTTTAATGTTAATATTTCTAACGTTGATTTCCCAGGCAAGGGGTACTGAAATGGTGTGTAAAGTGTTGTCTTTAACAAAAGGGTGATATGGGCATTAAGCAGTTGGAGAGGGCAGTGAGGATGGGGAGGGGTCTGCAGGGGGGTCTAGGGGCTGAGGGCGCTTTGAGGGTCTGTTCAGCTGGAGGAGACTGAGGGGAGATTCATTGGGGCCTTCAAAATCCTCAGGAGGGGAAGAAGAGGGGCAGGCACTGATCTTTTCACTCTTCACTCTGCTGACCAGTGACAGGACCTGAAGCCTGAAGCTGGGTCAGGGTTTTCAGGTTTAGATTGGGTATCAGGAAAAGGTTCTTTCCCCAGAGGGTGTTTGGGCACTGGAACAGATTTCCCAGGGTGGTGGTAACAACACCAAAGACAGGACCTGAAGCCTGAAGCTGGGTCAGGGTTTTCAGGTTTAGATTGGGTATCAGGAAAAGGTTCTTTCCCCAGAGGGTGTTTGGGCACTGGAACAGATTTCCCAGGGCGGTGGTAACAACGCCAAACCTGAGAGAGTTCAGGGAGTGTTTGGACACTGCTCTCTGGTCAGGCACAGGGTGGGATTCTTGGGGCCAGGAGCTGGGATGGTCCCTTCCAGCTCTGAAGATTCCATGCTTCAGTTTCCTCCCAGTGTCCAAAAGACCTTTTCTTACCTCGTGGCTGTTCTCTGTTTTCCCTGGCTTTCAGTGGAGTCCTTCCAACAGCCAAAAATCAGAATGATGATTAGCCAGGTCTTCAGGCTTGCTCCACCAGCAATCTTGTGTTTGGCATCAAACAGGTTGCATTAAGCAGCACCAGTTTCTGGGTGGTGCTGCAGTTGAGACAAGTTTTCTCTCTCAGCTCCTAATTAAACCTCCAGTCTTCCTGGGCTGATCCCTGCACAGGGAGCAGCCCTGCCTGTCTCTTGTCTGGGGGCAGATCTATGTAGATTTTGGTAGCTGATCTTCTGCAGCCAAAAATGCAAGCAACACGGGTTGGGGTTTGAGCTCTTCAGGTTTCTCTGATGAGCAGGTATGGTTGAGGCATTATTTTTGCTGGAAATAAAGACTGTACTGCTGGTACAAACATTCCCCTCCATCCCATAAACTACCCCGGCATAACGAGCCATCTCTGTTATACCCAAAGAAGATGCTGAAAAAAGGAGGGAAATGTGCTTTGGTCTGGAAACACAAAGCTTGTTTATAACCAAAGACCTTTTGCTACCTTGTGTCCAAAATTCCAGTGATTTTCAGTACAACTGGAAAAAATAGTTTATTAATGATTCAGTTTAACTGTGGATCTTGAAAGCATCATTTGAAGTATAATTGCAATTTTACAGATTCTCCTTCCCCTTCCAAGTAGATGATCTCATTAAGGTGTTCTTTTGCTCTCTGGGCTTATTAACTGCTGTTCACCAAAATTCTCACCAAGCATGGAATGACGCAGTTCAGGGTATAAGGGTGACAGGAAAAGGAAGTGATTGTATAATTATGACATTTTTTCTTACAGAGAAGATGAATTTCTTGTATTTTTTCAGAGTAAAGGTGAAGGTTAGACTGAGTAATAAAGACAATTCTTGAGGGTTTTTTTTTGACATTCCAAGTATTTATCAGTCATAAAACTTCAGTGTGACAACGCTCATTATTTATCCCCTTAACTCAGACCATCCTATGACTCAGAGAAGTCTGTCAGAGGCAGTATTTTTTAAAAAATACATTTATTTCAGTGTACAGAGGAGAATTTATGGCTCCAGTGCATAGAGGCTTACTTGGTGCCCTGCTCCTGCTCCTAACTCTTACTGGTCAGCAGCACCTCAGAGATCCAAGCCTTTTTCTGACCCACTCTGGGGCTTCAGTGGATCTGGGAATCTATCATCTAGTCTTGGACCTTTGGCATCACAATTTGCTTTAGGGATTCCAGGAATGTGGCAGAGACAATGACTGCAATTTCCTGCCACCACCTCTGGGTGGATTCAGCTGGCTGAATCTGCTGGATTCAGCAGGCAGCTGGAAAACATGTGAAACCTTTGCAGCAGCTGTGACCTCGTGGTGATTTTACACCTCATGCATCCCATCTTACTCATGATCTGCCAGACCTAAGAATTTCTTGCAGAATTGCTTTTTTTATTTAAAAATTATGTATTTGAAGGTTTCTTGCCACCACACCCCACCCCCCCAACCTGCAATGTTAATAAGATGCCACTTTTTCAGAGCTGTGGGAGGAACACTCAGCTGTGATACATTTAATATTGCCCAGACAAATGCATTTTTAGAATCACAAACATCCGGACCTAAATAATGGTAAAAATGAGGAATGTGTATCTGAAGGGAGATTCTACACACAATTTAGCTATTCTAGATGCCTTTCAGGTTGTTGGGGTTCTTGTTTCTTTTTTTTGCTTGACCAGAAAGATTTGTTTCGTTATTTAAAGAAACAAAAAAAAACAAAACAACAATTTTGTATAATTAAATACATACAGGGAAAAAAAAAAACTATCTTGAAAACTTTTCCCCAAATACAGTGTTTTATTAATTGAAAACTTACTAGTGATTCATTATATCAGCATTGAGACATAATCCCTTTGAAAAGTATTCTCATTTTTCTGCGGAAGATGCACTTTTTTAGTTTGCCATCTGCATTTTTCATTTTTCTGTTGCGGATTAATGTGTTTGGGTTTTGGTTTCTTCCCCCCCAATGGACAGTACAGTAATTATTTTACATTCAGTGTTTAGTTACCACTTCTCAGTTTTGTACTGACACCCTTTCAGCCACTGAAATTTCTTTATTCAACATGCAGAACTGGGGGAAATAGATCCTGGATCTGTTCTGTTTTGGAGCACCAGGAGAGACCTTGCCATGCAGATGAAAAAAATGCCTCAAAAAAAAAAAAAAAAAATCGAGAAATTTTAGTTGCTGATATCCTCACACATTCCCATTTCCAAATGTTGGGCAACTGTGATTGCTTTTCCATTTGGAAAACTTAGGAGCTGCTTTTTTCTTTTAGAAAACAAACTGGAAGATAATAGGTATGTAATGTTTAAATGGCATATAAAATGGCATCAAACTGTTGTGTAGACTACTTTCTTTATGAAGAAAAAATTTTAAAACCCCACCAATTTGCTGTTGACATGCTTTCCTTGGTAAAGAATATGACAACCTAAAATATTTAGCACTCAGGGTTTTGGTGGAAAATCAGAATGTCTGTGTAGATGTACAGGAACTATGTAACAGCTCAATCTTCTCATTTTTCCCTAAGTAGTCTCAAATCTAAAAAACAATTGCACTTATATTTACTTAGGAAAAAATATAAACTATATATTGCACCTTGTTGCTCTTCCATTAAGAACTTCTGTCATGGTGATTAAAGATCTATGGTTGACTCAACATTCTTCTCTACAGAAGTTGCTAGTAATACTGAGTCCATTTCCATGCTTTAGGAACAGGTAACACCTGTCTGCTTTTATTTGTTTTTTATTTGTAATGTTATCCTCTGAGCTGTTTCCCGCAAACTGCCTAATTTCTTACCTTACACAGATATTCCCCAGTGAAAGGCACTGAAGATGAAGTTGTGCAAAACATCCTCAGTATCTCTCAAAAGACTGGAGCTTTTTGCAGGCTTGGATGCTCCAGTTTAGCCAAAAGAGTGTAGAGCAGGTGAATTCCTGAGCACCACAGCTGGAAAGTGCAATAATCTGCAGTTTGAAGAATAATTGGATGGAAAGAACAGGGAGCAAGCAGGTAAAGAAGGGTCTGGTCTTCAGGATTCCTTACCTTGAAGATACATTTTCCTGGGTTCTGCCTGCCCTGGGCTCTCAGAAATACTCTGCTCAGCAGGCAGCTCTAGGAGTGACCTCCAGGAGTTTCCTGTAGATAGGTCCAAAAGCATTTATGGGATAAGCTCCATGCCAAGGGTCCTGGTCCCTTGGGACACCACTTCCTTTCCTCTCTCCCTCCCTTCCTCCCTGCTGCAGGTTTGTTTACTCTCTTCACAAGTGAAAAGAGGGAGTGAGACATAAACTTGCTGGGATTTTCTCTGCACAGCAACCCTGCAGAGAATGGAGGGGTGTGTGCATGTGAGAGAAGCCATAAGGTAATTCTTAGAGTCATCTCAGCAGTTACATGAGGAGTTAAACAGATGAGGTTAAAGCAAGTATGAAAGGGACTGTTCCTGTAATTAATATATCACTCTGCTGCTATCTACAAAACCAAAGTCCCTGCCCAAGAGATAGCTAAGAGTGAAATCAACAGGTTCCTCCAGCAGGCCCTTAAAAATGAGGAATTAGGAATAGAATTAGAAATAATAAAAATAGAAAGAAATAGAAATTAGAAATAGAAATTAGAAATAGAAATAGAAATAGATAGAAAGAAATAGAAATAAAAAATAGAAAGAAATAGAAATAGAAATAGAAATAGAAATAGAAATAGAAATAGAAATAGAAAAAAATAAAAATGGAAATATTCCTATGAAAATCATCTAGTTCAACTGTCTGACCATTCCAGAGCTGAGATTAGCCTTTTATTAAGGCTGTTGTCCAAATAATTTGTTTTAAGGCAAGAGTCAGGCATGGGGTATCCATCACCTCTGTAGGGACTCTGTTTCTGCACCTCCTCTGAAACAGCTTTGAGCCATTCCCACCCACCCTGTCACTGGGTCCCAGGGAATTCTGTAGCTCCCTCTCCACATCCCCTCCTCAGGAAGCTGCAGAGAACCACGAGGCCATCCCTCCAAACAGGACAATCCCAAACTCCTCAGCTGGGGACATGGGACTCTGGATGCATTCCAGTACCTTATGTATGCTGCTTAAATTGTGCCCAACACTGCACACAGAAAATCCCACAATGCTCCTTGGGCCTTTTGGGAGTGTTTAAGAGCTGCCAGTTTTATGTAGGGAAAATTAAGCCTTCCAGCAGTGAACAGGAATTGATAATGATGCTAAACCACATCTGTGAAATCACTTGATTCGAGTAATAAAGAAATAAAATAATTATTTGATTTTTATGAGGGAATGAGTTTAAGTGGGAAAAGCAGAATTTT